TCACCCCCCTTTAAAATAATCACATTTTGTTGCTTTGCAGCCTGAAATGAAGATGGACACAGTTTTTCTTTTATCCAGCTGAATTTACTCAATGCAGCTTATAACATCCAAGTGAAAGATATAACCCCAACATGTATAAAATAAACAATCACTGAGTTGGAAAAAGGATCAGCCCTTGTGTCAGTATTTTGTTGAACCACCTTTTACTTTAATTACAGCCTGTAGTCTGTTGGGATTTGTCTCTACTAATTTTGCAATTCAGATGGTGGGGCTGGGGGGGTATTAAAAATAAAGATAATTTAATCATAAAATTACTATTATTTTGATTTGGGAAGCACACAAAATGTACTTTTTCAACAGCAGTAACATGCAAAATCTATTTACGGAAAATTAATAGGCCTATATGAAGAGTTCATTTGCAAAAACCGATAAGTCCATTTTTATTTTTCAGAAATCACTTTTTTTTTTTATTGCGCATTCCAAGTAATATCAATCAAACTGCAGTTGGGTTGTTTTGATCAAGTAATAATAATTTAAAGAAATACAATTTGTTTACAAAATTTAATTTACAATTTAATTTTAATTTTTGGTGATTTACAAAATTAAAGTTCATTGAAAGTATGTTTTTTTTTTTCTTTTTCTTTTTTTTTACATATTAAAAGTTTGTTTTATAGCAAAAGCAGATAACTCCACATTTCATGTTTTAGAGTAAAAAAAAACAAACACTCGTTTAATCTTTGTAATCCTGTTCAAAAACAACAAGGGCGCTTGTCGGCTTCTGCAGTAGAACGTGAACTCGCAATGCCTCGAAAGTGGACAAAACCGGCTTTTTTGACAAAACGTGTTTAGGGTTCAGATCGCGCTATATGTGGAGAATAATGCTCGGCAATCGGCTCTTTTTTTTTTTTTTTTTTAAAGTGGCGTTTATCGGTTTTTGCAAACGAACTTCTTCATATTCTACTCTTATTAAATGTGCCATTATTCTTCTGTAGTATTATACAGAACTGACTGACAGCTTCAGTGATTATAAAAGGAGTGCTTTATGCACTGTGACTTTTCTTACTTCATACACAAAAAAAGTGCAGAATGTTGACAATTGGATTTCTTGATGATTTGATATTTTATAATAGTGATATTATAATTTAAAAATATAAAACAAAAAGTAGAAATGAACGACTAATAACCCAGTAAGTGCTCATCTGCTGCTATTTACTAGTAATAGTGGTAATTTGACGTATTTTTTATTTTACATAAGTGTTTGTTTACCCCAAATTATATTTTGGTCATCCCATTAAAAATAACGTTTGAATTGGATAATTTTTAGAGCTTTAAAGTGCTGGAAATAATGTGAAATACTTGAAAGTCACTAAAAATGCTTGAATTTCCCTCCGCTCTGCACAGCTCAAATGAGTAGCGCGGTTTCGTTACGCATTTGTTTCATTTTCCATTTGATGTTTCTTATATGCAGTGCTTATGAGTTGGGCAACGTGGTGGTCACACCAGTGCGACCGCTCTCAAACATTTTTCATTTCAAAAACATCTTACAGATTCTAAACTTTTGACCGTTAGTGTAATTAATAGTGCAATGTAAATTTACGGTTGATAATTGTTTAATTCCAGATCAGATTGGCTCTGATGTCTTAAGCAAGCTCAGTTCTGCTAAACAGTGATCAGTTATGAGTGGTGTCGTATTTCTACCCCGTAGCCTTCTTTTGAAGGAGAACAGAAATCCCTCGGTGTTGCTCCGCACACAGGCCGTCAGATCAGTCGCCCCTGTGTCGTAGGTTTCGTCGAGAGCTGCCTGAAATAGCGGCACTCTCTCACTGTGTGGACACCTGTTTTCCTGTGAAGGCAGCTGCCATTCTTGGGATCGTCATGACACAATCGCCTTTATCTCACGCAGTGGTTTCCACAGGCTCTGCTGCAATCAATCAGTCCTGCTCCGCCACAGGAAAACTCTGTGGAATAAATGTGATGATAAATGCTTTTTTTGTTTAGTCTTGAACGTTCCTGTGAAACTGTCATCTTAAAGGGACAGTTGATCCAAAAATAAAATCTGTCATTCACGCATTCCAAACTTGTATGGATTTCTTTCTTCTGTGGACACTAAATAAGATATTTCGAAGAAAGTTTTAGCAGTTTTGGTTCATATTATGAAAGTGATCTTCATTCGTTATTGATCATCTTTTGGTTTGTGTCCATCAGGTTTAAAAAAAAAAAAACATTCCAAATAATAAAATGAGATGAAGTACCTTTCATTAGTGAAGTATTTAATTGACTGGATAATCAAACAGGCATTATTACATAATATAATATATAAATAGAGCTCTACAGTGAGTTAGAACAAAACTCATTAAGCCATTTTTTTTTTATATTATAGAATATTCTATTTATCTGTTAAGCTTTAGATATGATTTTTAATAATGTTGTTTATTTGTTATTTTTTTATTTATTGTGTATTATTTATGAATAATAAATACAAATTATACAAAATTAATAAGTAAATAAACAAAAAATAAAATGAATAAATAATTAAAATAAAATGATAAATCAAATAATATATTTATGTATATTTAATAATATATAATAATATAGTATTTTATTTAATTTTTTTTAACAAATGGCAGTTTCATATCTATACTGCGATGTGACAAAAAAGAATATTGATTGTTCCCCTTAATTTGTGGTCCTAAAAATCTTTTTGCAACAGTTTACAGTATGGTCCCATTAGTTAATGTAAGTAAATGCATTAACTAATATTAACTAACAATGAGCACTACATTTGTTGCTGTTTTTATTAATCTTTAAAGTTAATAAAAAATAATTATCATTAATTATTAAAAGTTAATAAAAATACAACTGTTCATTGTTAATTCACGCTAGCTCAGGTTCATACAGATACAACTTTTGATTTTAATAATGTGTTAGTAAATCTTAAAGTTAACATCAAGATTAATACATTTTAAGCAGTTTAACTAATAAATGAAGTAAAGTTAACAAATGGAACCTCATTGTAAAGTTTTATTTCTGTCTGTGTTGTTGCAGGAAATGATCAAGCCGATGTTCACTGCTGCCACTTTACCCGGTGGCACCAACAGCACCACCACACAGTCGTCGGCCTCTTCCTCTCCCTCCTCCTCCTCCGTCTCCATGCACACTCAGAGCAGCGCCCTGTCGCTCTCCAGCACCACCTGTTGGCCGTTGGCTGCAGGGATGAATGCTCAGAGCGTCTCTAGTGTGAACGGCACGGTGCTCAAAAGCTCTCCGGCGGGAGTCATGCAGCTGCCCAGCGGATTCACGCTCATGCCAGGTGGGGTTTCTGTTCATTTATTCACTCCTTTGTTGCATGTTATTTTTCTCACTTTCACAGATTCAGTCTTATTTTACTTTCCAGAGGGGTTTTGCATGATGCATTGCATCAGCTTGCATGACATCTTTGTGTTTTAATACACATTAATTTTTTGCTTGCTTGCATGTCTGCACACTTTGAATTCTGCTTCCAACTGATCCGTCTGTGTAAGGGTATAATAAACAATAATATATAAATGAAAATAATAATAAATACAAATATTTTTATTTTTTATTTTATTTTTTATTTATTTACTTATTTATTATTTTTTCAAACCTGATATAAAATCTTAAAGGGGTCATATGATGCCATATCAATTTTTCCTTTCTCTATGGAGGGTTACAAGCTCTTGGTGCATGAAGAAGATCTGTAAAGTTGCAAAGACTAAAGTCTCAAAACCTATAATACTACCTCAGTGATACTAAAATAACAATATTGTCTTAAAATATCTGATCTAGCGCTAAAATATCAGATATTGACCTTTTTATGACAAAGCAAGGTTAGTTTAGGTTGTAAAATGTCATGTGGTGCAACTCCCTAAAATCTAATAATATTTAAGAATTAGTATCTCAAGGTATTTAAAAAAAATAAATTTTTAATTAAATTTTATTGCAAAAAGTTTACTTTTTTTTTTTTTTCATTAATATTATGTGTACACTCTCATCTGTTAATTACTTTTGATTGATGGTTACACCACTTGACATTTTTTACATATTTATTTAAAATAGTTTAAAAGTTTTTCGAAAAACATTAAACCAACATGAATGCAATTATTACAATTCTAATAATTTGGCGTTTGTTTTAAACTGGATTTTTATCTTTTTCCTTTTTAATTGTAAACATTCTTATTTGTCATTGACCCACATATCAAACACTTATGATGGATACTCGGATATTTTACGATTTGTGTTTAAAATCTTGTCTTGTAAAAAATCCACACTTGCAGTGACTAGGCCTTGTTTGGTGCACATGCTGCTCTGCTTGGCTTGCTGAGGGTGTCGCTGTGTGTCCCGCAGGCACTACTCTTCCTCCTGGCGCACACACTATTCCTCTCAGTCAGCTGCAGACACACTCTCTGGCCATACAGTGTCCACAGACGCAAAACAGCCACGCCGCCGCCGCTGTCCCCGCACACACACAAGCTGCCACACAGGCCACGCTCTTCCGCCTGCCGGCCACTGTCTCACTCACAGGTCAGTGTTTAGCCATCATGAGGGAAACTCAACTAATGGTGGAGGCTGGAAACATGCGTTTGAGGATCTGCATGCTACTGCTGTCTAAATGTGTTTCTCATAGGGATGGCATTTCAAGTCATTTTGTGTTATTCTAACTCAAACAAAAGCAATTATTTGAAAATACTATTATTATTAATATTAAGCTCAACGTAACAAGTATTTTAACTTTGTGAATTTTACTCTATCATTACATCACCAATAATGGTTCATATACAGTACCAACCACTAATATTGGCACCCTTAGTAAATATGAACAAAGGCGGCTGTGAAAATAAATCTGCATCGTTTATCCTTTTGATCTTTCATTCAAAAAATTCTAACATATCATTGAAGTAAAACAATGGAACGTGGGGGGGAAATCTTATATGAAATAAATGTTTTTCTCTAGTTCACATTAGCCACAATTATTGGCATACAATTATTGCAGCGCCCTTTTCCCAA